GTGAGGTGTTTTTCTTGATAATTATATGGGAGGACCCGGCCCACTGTGGGTGTTACCCACACCTGGACGGTGGTCCTGGGTTGTATAAAAAGGCAAGCCATGGGCGAACAAACCAGTAAGTAGCACTCCTCTGTGGTCTCTGCTTTAGTTCCTTCCTCTAGGTTTCTGCCCTGCTTGAGCTTGTGTCTTGACTTCCTTCATGATGGACTGTGAGCTGTGAGCTGTAAGCTGAAATAAACCCATTGCTCACCAAGTCGCTCTTGGTCATGGGGTTTATCACAGCAACAGAAAGAAAACTAGGGGGCTACCTCTCAAGTTACTCTGTTTTTCAGTAATCTTCTACAAATGGATTTTTTCACTCTCAAAATCATCCAAAATCCTTCCCTTTGTTTCTGTGGGATTTTCAATCCTCCTTCTGTATTCTCCTTTTTGGAATCTAAAGCTCATTGCCAGTGTACGAGGAGAGGTTTAGGAAGGTCCCATTTGATTGCACTTTTCTTTTTCTTTTTTCTTCTCTCTCTCTTTTCTTTCTTCTTTCTTCTTTCTTTCTTGTCTTTTCTCTCTCTTTCTTCTTTCTTTCTTTCTTTCTTTCTTTCTTTCTTTCTTTCTTTCTTTCTTTCTTTCTTTCTTTCTTTCTTTCTTTCTTTCTTTCTTTCTTTCTTTTAAAAGCAAGATTTCACTAAGTAGCCCTGGCCTAGAACTTGATATGTAGACAGAACTGGCCTTAGACTTACAGAGATCTTTATGCTTCTAATTCCCAAGTGCAGGGATTAGAAAAATGTGCATCGTTGGGTCAAAGGTCCCATTCTCATCTGAATGTTTTCCGGAATTTTACGTGTGTGTGTGTGTGTGTGTGTGTGTGTGTGTGTGTGTGTGTGTGTATGCTATGGTGCATGTGTGGAGGTGGGAGGACAACTTATAGGAATCTCTTCTACTGTGTGAATTCTGTGGATCAAACTCAGGTTGTCAGGCTGAGTCAGGCAGCAAGAGCTTTGGATCACTGAGCCATATTGCTGGCCCTGAAATAATGTTGAGAGGATTCTCTTCTCTTGGAATAGTGATGGTGTTAATGTACTACAAAGTGTATTTTTTTTCCAAAATGGACTATTTCCAGCAAAAGGATTAAAAACATGTTGAGGTTGAAAATACCTTGACAAAAGTCTGTTTAAAATAGTTTCATTTTAAACTGATTATATTAAACTATACAGCCCCCTACTCCTACTCCTATATATATACTATACACTCCTACTTTTCAGTGTCACAGTGAATTAAATGAATAGATGATGCCTTGAATTATTATTTCAGCTTTGAGAAAAGCAATACAGGGATCCAGATTATCTCCCATGTGGACTGGCTTCTTGGTCAGACTTGCAGTACCTTGTCTATGGACAGTGTCTTTCTCCAAAAGAATCAGGGACCTTGGGTCATTCAGCTAATGGAAGATTTCTACCTTCAGGATGAAGGCAGGAATAATAAGGGTGGTATCTGGTTATACCTTGACTCCTCATTTTGTAGTCTGTGGTCTGAGTATGTCCCCTACCAAATTCATTGTTGGGAATGAATGCCAATGCAGGAGCATTGGGAAGGGAGTCCTTGTGAGAAGTGTTTATGTCATGAGGATATTTCACGGATGAACAGCGGTCTCATGCCACTGTACTGAAGGGCTGTGAGAGCATCAGTCTTCTTCCCACTGTGTGAGGACTCAGCAAGGTCCACACCACTGGTTTGACCTCGGACTTCTTACACCTCTACATTGTGAGGGATAAATTTTGTTTTAATTTACCTGGACAGTGGTATTTTATAATAGATTAAGATTGTCAAGAATAAAGACATCATACAACCCTCGAGCCAGGCTCTGACTCTTAGAGTTCTTAAATATTTTGCTTATTGTGATGCTAAAAAATTGCAGATGCAAGAGTCCCAATTTTGGGCAGAGCTGAAAGTAATTCACTTTGGAGTCTTTTTTTTGTTTGTTTGTTTTTTTTTTTGGTACAAATTCTCACTATGTAGCTCTGGTTGTCCTGGAACTTACTATGTAGACCAGGCTGGCGTCAAACTCACAGAGATTTATCTATCTGTGTAGCTAGAGTTTTCCTGCCTGGCCCACAGTCAGGGCAAATCTCTCTCACCTGCCAGTCCCACAGCCGTCAGACCCGACCAAGTAAACACAGAGACTTGTATTGGTTTCAAACTGTATGGCCATGGCAGGCTTCTTGCTAACTGTTCTTTCAGCTTAAATTAATCCATTTTTATAAATCTATACCTTGCCACATGGCTCGTGGCTTACCGGCATCTTCACATGCTGTTTCTCATTGTGGCAGCTGGCAGTGTCTCTCTGACTCAGCCTTCCACTTCCCAGCTTTATTCTCCTCCTTGTCCCGCCTACACTTCCTGCCTAGCCAATGGCCAATCAGTGTTTTATTTAATGACTAATCAGCAACACATTTGCCATACAGAACATCCCACAGCATATCTGCCTCCTGAGTGCTGGGAATAAAGGTGTGCATCTCCATGCCCAGTAGGGGTTTTTGTTTTGTTTTGTTTTGTTTTGTTTGAGACAAGGTCTCACTATATAGTTTTGGCTCTTCTGAAACTCACTATATAGACCACATCACTTTGGACTCTTCATTAACATTTTTATTGTCCCTTCTGGTTATGATGGTTTACAAGTTGGGCTCAGGTAGGCCCAGGGTTGTGGCACTGTGGTGACTAGGGAACCAAGAGGTTTCTGGAAGAAGAGTCACTACTGTAACTTCTTTTTTCCTAGCTCATTCAGAGATTAGCATGTGGGTGTGTCTTTCTTTTCTTTATAAACTCCATATGAAAACATACCCAGGTTTTGATCTTACTTTGGCTATGTACTACCAGTGTGGCCTTGGGAAAGTATAGACTCACTGACCCTTACTTTCCATTTCGTACTGTAATGAGGCTAATACCTTCCTCATAGAGCTATTGCAGTGATAAATGAAGGACATACAAAGTCCTGGTATATCATAGTTCCAACACATTAGTTCTTGCTCAGCTCTTTGTGCCTTGTTGGCTATTTAAGGGAACCATTAAGCCTATTCTTAGGGGTAAGTGTAGTGAGTTATTACAACTTATATTGACTTAGCTTCTCTTGTGAAAATTTTCATACCAGAAGCACGGCTCAGTCACCCTTGGTGACTACACCACATCCAGATGGCTCAGGCTTGTGGCCAGAGATAAGAATTTAGCAGCATCTCTTCTGCTAGCAATGTGCGTGCATGTGTGTGTGCACACGTGCGTTCGAGAGTGTGTGTGTGTGTGTGTGTGTTTGTGTGCACACACACATGTGCTTTCTTTAAATGAGCCATTCTGGAATTTGCCACAAATCTCAAAGTTACAATCTATTCCCTTATATATGTCACTAGCTGTCACATTTTCTACTTTGAGTGACCTGTAAACCAAGGACTGACTCACACTTTCCCTTAGCCAGGATCTATAAGTGAAAGTGTTTTCCTTTCCCTGATACTGTAATGGTGTTTTGAATCTGCAACTTCTGACAAGCCTGAGGCTACCCAAAGCCAGAGTTTTCCTGGATGCGTCGAGAATGAAACGTTGGGTTCTTAAGACAAGTGTTGGCCAGGCAGTCACTGGAGATGGGTCAAATGAGAGCCCTCAGGTCACCCACCAGTGTACATTTTTCCTGTGTGAAAGATTTTCTGGTTGTACAAGGCATTGGGCACACTGTGAGCCCCCAACTCCCAAGCTCTTCTTGAGGGCTAATAGATGCTTTGGTGTTGGAACCCCAATTTAGATAAATTTTAATTGCTTTCTAGAACACAGGACCTTGCGCATGTTAGGCAAGAGCTTTGCCACTAAGCTATGTCCTTAACCCTGGCTCCCCGATTTAAATGGGACCCCTCAAAACAATGGAACAAAGATCTTTGATTTTTATACAAATCAGCGTGAAAAACTCTTGAAGGTGCACCCCATGTTTCCTCCTTTACTGCCATACCTCAGTAAGTCCAAGAAATTGCTTTCTCATTTGGCAAGTCATACTTTCAGCTTTAATTCAAAAGATTAATTTGTAAACCAAAGCATACACAGTGATAGGAGATTAACAATAAAGCTAGGGTAATTAGAGTCTGACGAGAATTCCTTAAAATCATAATAGGCTGCTGGTTCTGAAGTGGATGGCTGCTGAGGAGGTTGCCATCTTTCAGCTGTGGAGGAGCTCAGGAGGCAGGCTGTCCGCATTGGTATCTTGCATCCATCATTTTACTGGCTTCGTTCCTTGAGCCAAGTTTCTGAATATCTCTGAATTTTAGTTTCCTTATCTGTAAGATGAGGATTATAAGAATTCTGATGCTATAAGGTCTCTAAAGTTCAATGAATTTACTATGCAGAACACTTAGTGCCTAGCTCATAGTAACTGTTCAGTACTTGATTATGTTCATGATCTGCTACGTAAAATAGTCTGGAGTAACATACAGCTGTACCTTGACTTGTGATGAAGTCATGACCCAATGGACCCATTATAAAGTTCTGTAAGCAGAAACATGCTTTTAACATAGCTAGCCTGATTGTCATAGTATAGCAACACTGTGTACCAGAGAACACACCTGGGAGCTGGTTATCCCTGTGATTACCAGGGGTATCCCTGGGGGCTGCTCTCTGCTGCTGTCCAGCATCAGTGTATCAGAGTGTTGGAACACATATTACTAGCCTTGGGAAAGACTGACCATCAATGTTACAAGTGTGCTTTCTATAGAATGTGAATGCTTTTTCTACCATCGTAAGGTTAAAAACTCCTGTCAAGCCACCCTACGTCTGTTTGACCTGACCATCTTCACTCTGATAGGGTACACGCTCTTACACTGCGCTGCAGCCTGGGGCCGCCTGGAAACTTTGAAGGCCCTGGTGGAACTGGATGTTGATATAGAGGCTTTGAACTTCCGGGGAGAGAAAGCTCGGGATGTTGCCGCTCGCTATTCTCAGACTGAGTGTGTTCATTTTCTGGACTGGGCAGGTAAGGAGCACATGTGATGTTAAGATGGTTAAGAGCATGGAAGGAGATGATTAACCATTTTACCTTCCAGCTAGATGCTGTATTTTCTTTTTCTTTTTCTTTTTTTTTCTTTTTTTTGGTTTTTCGAGACAGGGTTTCTCTGTGTAGCTTTGCGCCTTTCCTGGATCTCGCACTGTAGACCAGGTTGGCCTCGAACTCACAGAGATCCGCCTGCCTCTGCCTCCCGAGTGCTGGGATTAAAGGCGTGCACCACCACCGCCTGGCTCTTTTTTTTTTTTTTTGAGACAGAGTTTCTCTGTGTAGTTTTGGTGCCTGTTCTGGATCTCACTCTGTAGACCAGGCTGGCCTCAAACTCACAGAGATCCGCTTGACTCTGACTGCCTCCTGAGTGCTGGGATTAAAGGCATGAGCCACCACCACCTGGCTTAAATGCTGTATTTTCTATTGTCAATCTATGAAGATTGCCTTCATTTTTTCTTTTCTCTTTTACTTTGCTATTGAGTAAAGCATTGCTCTTTACTGCTCTTTCTTTCTTTGTATTTGTGTCTTTTTGGTTTACTGACTTCTAACTATTTAAGCAATAAATTATACATGCAGTATATGTTCAAGGTTATTTTCTGAGAGAAGTGTGTGTGTGTGTGTGTGTGTGTGTGTGTGTGTGTGTGTGTGTGTGTGTATCGTTGATTTACCAACTTCTAACAACTTAAGTAATAAATTTCCATGGGAGGATACATGCAGTATATGTTCAAGGTTGTTTTCTGAAAGACCCAGGCAAAGTACACTATTCCTTAAATGCTTACATATTAGCATATTTCAGTAATATATTTGACCTCTTCAGAGAGAAAAATTGTTATAAAAATATTTTCCTAGGAAAAGTTAACCTATGGTGTTAGTAACCCAAATCACAATTACCCTATGGCATGAGAGGGCTTCTGAGATCTGTTATTTTTCTCAATTTGTCCCCTGGTTACATGGATATTTCATTTATGAAAGTTCATTGAGATGTACACTTTTCATGTCTTTTATGCATATTCTACTTCAACAGAGTCCAAAAGTCTATGTTCTATCTTGAATTTTGCTCTATCATTCTCTAGATCTATAACATACAGCTTGAAAAGCTTTTAGGAAGACATACCTGTGTAACTCACTGTGTGTGCTTATAAACTTCAAACCAGTTTTTTTTTATCTGAATGCATGTGCTTAGCAAGCTTTTGTGAATTGCCCACTACTAAATATGGTAATATGGTTGTAGGTACAACTTGTTCTTTCTGCCATCTGGACTTTTTTTTTAGGAGGATCAATCATCTAGAAATTATTTGGCAATTATATAACAGTATCAGAAAGATGTGAATATAAAGAGAAAGGTTAAAGGTAAAAATTGGCAGGAAAGGCAGTCCATGCCCTGAAAGAGAACAGGAAGCCAGCTTGTTGGGGTTCACCTGGGCCTTGTCAAATGAATGGGATTTGAATACACAGTGGCAGAGCTAAGAGCACAAGCTGAATGTTAGATCTGGGGATGGACGGGACAAGATTGCCTTACTGGAGCCCATGTCATAGCTCCCACAGGTAATCTGGAGTGTAGGTGGAAGGGGTAAGCACACGGTTCCTGAAGGATGCTTGGGTTTGAATCCTACGTGAGTGTGAGTAGAGTACCCTAATTCTTTGTACCCAAGTTTCCTTTTCTGGAAAGAAGGGCCAATAATGGATCCTTCCTCTTGAGATTTGTGAAAACTAAATGAAGCAGTGTAAAGCACATAGCAACTGTCATGTTGAAAAAAAAAATAGTCAGGCTGGAAAAAAAATGCGGCTGCTATAATTACCACCGGATTATACTGTACGTGCCAGGTTAAGGTGTTTTCATTTTATTCTGGGAGCCACACTAGTAAGGGTGGATTCTTTTTCAGTTGAATGGAAATCCAGACTTGTCTGAAAGTTTTTTCAGTGAAGGTCGTGGCAAAAAACCCTACACCAGCTCCCAAAGAAACCTTTTCATCCTCAGATAGTCCTGGAAATAGATTTCTTTTGTACTCTTCTGAACTTGACTGAGCTACATTGCATGGGCATAGGTTTAGTATTCTTTGACTCCTCTCCCCCTTCACTCTTCTTCCTCTTTACTCTATGGTGTTGCTTAACTTTCTTAAAGGAAGAATGTTGGGACACCTGCTTCAGGAACTTGGTCATCATTGATGTTGTGGCCAGCAGTCTGCAGAGGATCTGCTCAATGTCATAGATGGATGCACTCTCTAGGTCATCACCATGTTTCTCTAAAGAGGCTTGCTTTTTCAGCTGAAAGAGCAAAACACACGATTCTTGTCTTATTTCAGAGTAAACTTACATTATGGATAATTAATTAAGCACTACTAAGATGTACATATCACATATTTATACAAAAAGGATGGTTGCTCTAGAAGGCCGACACACAGAAGAGATGCTCTTCCTTGATGTGCGACACAAGACCAGATTGATCATTGTCCCCCACCAGCCAACGTTGGTTAGAGTTGTCTAGGGTTAGAGCCTGTTGCCAAGAGAAATTAGGATGTTTTCCTTCAGCACATGGAGAAATTGAGTCAGTTCTGACCTGATGGCTTCCTCCCTGCTGGCGCGCTCCCACAGTTTTGGAAGGGGCTAGCCATGTTGCCCTGGTCTTACCCAGCTGTTAACCCTGTGAACTGCAGTAGTGACTGGCATGGCAAGGCGTGTCCATGGGTGCAATAGTGGCATGAAAATCACAAGGGTACCCAGTGCTTTCTGATCGGATTTAAGGCCTGCTCATAGGAGGAAACATGCCTGGGACCGCATATCTGGCCAAGAACCCATGGGTGCGGAGCTCACAGGTCCCATTGGTGAACCTACTAATATTGTTTCGCTAAATGGGCATAGTATCAAACTGCACTCTAAATTTGTATCTCCTACACTCAGATTAGTGCAACTCTCTGACCTCATCAGAAACATTTCTTTGTGCAGTGGATGACAGTTCATGCAGAAACTTAAAACTGGTCAAAGTGCAGAGTGGAGTACCCAGACGTAAATGTGAATCTATATCACACCCCCACCCCTCAGGCATCATGGAAGAGGAGGGCAGAAAGTCTGGAAGAGCCAGAGGTCAGAGAGGACCTGAGCAAACAGTTATCTTCTGACCATGGCAGGAATTCTGCACTCATGAACTGAACAGCACCTGTGATTGCCTGCACAAGAGCCCCACAGGATCAAGTCAAGTCTCACTCTAGCATGGCATAGGAAGGACTCAGAAGCCCTCACCCCTAGATGAGGAGCTATGGGTAATTGACAACTTCAGGGGAAGGCGGAGCTAGTTTTCTTTAAGTGCGTGGTTCCTGGCAGGTTGACCTGAATAAAAGCACTCAGCAGTACCTGGAACATAAAATTAGAATTATTGTTAAGGGTTGGGGGACATAGCTCAGTGAGTTGTAGAGAGCTTGCCTAGGATGTAGGAGGTCCTGAGTTTAATTCCCAGAACCAAATAAATAAAAGAAAAAATATTTTCCCTTATTAAGCAAGATCACTGTATAATACAATCATATTTTAAAAACAAGAAAACATATGCTTAGGTCACTCTGAAGGTCAAGGAGATGTGTGCACAGGTGTTTAGCAGCATTCTTGTATAATTCTCGAATTATAGTGCCATCTATTGGCAAAACTGGGGATGAAGCACTGTTTCCCACTAAATGCTAACATTTAGAAATCAGTTTACAGCCCAATGCGAAGCTCATGCCAACTTTTGTAGTGAGCGTTGATAGACTTGCAGGTTCTCCAAGAGACCTCCTTATTTCAAATCATTTTATGGGGAGGCTGAGAAAGAATATATAACTTACCGAAGGAAAGGCAGGTAACCTCACTTCCTGTAATCCTACCTACCGCATCTCAATGTTTTGGTGCATTTTGTAACTTGAAAGTAGGAGTAGGAGGAGATGATTTTAAGGACCTTCTGATCAAATACACTCCCATGGAAGTCTTAAGTGTTTGTAGGACACGGCTAGATAACGGAGGTGGGGCGGGTTAGTGGGGAGCAGGGAAGGATAACTTCAGAGAACTGGATAACTCTCTGAGATTCTACAACTCCTCCTATTTGCAACACAAATTCACCTTTCTTTGGTGTTTCATCCATTTCATCCATAGGTAATGCACAGATAAAACAAACAGGATTAAGAAGAGAGCTTCTACTAAGATGTACAAGAGGCGTAAAGAACTCTGGACGAGGTCCAGGTTAGCAAAGTTGCAGCAGAGTTTGTCCAGAGGGTAAGGCAGGCAGTGGGATGAGGAAGCCTTAACTTTCAGGTAGAGCACTTCATCAGGAAAAATCTCCCATCCGACCTTGGTCCAGGTGGTCCCATCACAAATGCAGACACCCTCTCTGAAGAAACAAAGAAACAGGAGGGGGGAAAGCACAGATAGTCTCCAGTTAGACATCTTCATGCCTTAACTGAGAAGAAAATCTTGAGCTAAAAAAATTGGTCAGACAGAGCAGAAGAAGCCCCAAGCACTAGGTAACGTGGTGCTTCCGTCAAGGACTTTCAGATAATCCTGTTAGACAGCCCAGCAAAATACACAATGAGGATCATTGTTACATCGTCAGTCATAGTGACTCAGGGGTAAGTGACTCAGTGACATCATAAAAAATGCCCTGGAATGAAAAGGTGTACCCAGCTAATCACCCTAGGTTTCTTGAAAATGAACAATCTACTAATATTTTTGCCAGGGAATGTATTTAGCAATAGGCATGCCATCATAATGATAAAACCCTGTGAACACAAACAAACAAACAATCCCCAAAGGTAGTGAAGTCTTGCTATGCAGCAGCAGAAAGATTGGCTGCTTTGGACCCTGTTGTCATATGAAAAGCAGACTCTGAGAGGGAGAGATTGGGTGTTTAGATAAGATTTCCAAGCCAAATGTGGAAGGTGTAGCAGCTGGTCCTTTTCTTGCTGTCTATGGTAAAATGTGAAAGAAAAAGGATAAATAACTGGAAGAACTGTCGAGCAAAAGGGAAACAGGGCTTGGCAGTGTGGGAATGCAGCACAGGCAGATCACAGGACAAGCTGCTGTGGTTTGAAATGTGTTCCCCGAAAGCCCCTGCACCCAAAGGCATCCTCCTCAGTTTGATGCTATCGGGAGTCACTGGAGACTTTGAAAGATGAGACCTACTAGGAGGTGGTCACTGGAGATGGGCTCTTGAAGGAACTGGTGGGACCTCAGCCCCTTCCTGTCCTTTACATTTGTTCTTGACCCCGAGGTCTTTGTTCTCACACACTCCTTGTTAGAACGCTACCATGTCATAGACCCAAAAGCAACAGGACTAACCACCCAGAGACTGAAACCTGAAACTTGAGCCGAAATAAACCTTCTCTCTTTATAAGTTTCTTATTTCGGTCATTTTATTACAGTGGTAGCCTATTAATAACATAGGTACTAAATATTAAAAGAGTCCCTGTGAAGACAATAAGCTTTGGAGGGAAAGACATTGTATGGATGGACAGTTTTTTTGCTACTGAATTGTTGGGGAGTACATGTCACGCATTCTCCCAGCCATCGCTGCAGAAGTCAGGATGGAACTTAAATTATCCACAAAAGATCAGGAGGAGCCTCTTTCTGACTAGATGAATCTCTGTGATGTGTCTCACAAGGATTTTGCGAGTGTTGCATTGATAGAAATACTGTTTTCCATAAAAGGACAGAGAGAATTAAAATAAAAAGAAGAGTACTGGTCTACCAAAATTTTGTAGGCAGGAACAGATTAATAAAGCTATTCAGCTGCTAGCACATGCTTTCTTTTTCCTTTCTCCCTGCCTCCCTTCATTCCTTCTCCTCCTCTTCCACATCCTCCTGAACCAGGGTCTTACTATGAGGTCCAGGCTGTCCTAGAACTCTATGTAACCCAGTCTGGCTATGAAACCACGGATCTTCCAGTCTCAGCTTCTAAAGTTTTGGAATTATATCTTTGAACTACCAGATCAGCTTACATGATACAATTCATGAAAAGGGAAAGATGATTCAGTGCAGAGGATGGAGAGAGTTATCCCCGGGTCTGAAACCTAGTGGAATGTGTATGCTGTATTTTGAAATGATTTTAAGCGGCAATGTCTATGACTGTGTTTTGTGCTTGTGCCACCATTATAGTTTGGAAGAAGAGAAATAGTTTCTGGCTCACCAGGTCCACAGAGAGAGGAATTTTTGGCCTAGGACAGATCACATACAATCTCACCCAGACCTTGTACACATGCTTGAGAGTTTGAGGTTTGAAATTTCCGAGCTGTGATTCTTTAGATGAGAATTTGGGTTTGAGTTGATATGGTCGTACCTTTTGGTGGTATTGGGGTGGGGTAGATGTATTTTGCCTGTGAGATGCATCTGAATTGTGAGTGGATGAGAGAGAAGGCTGTGGTGGGCTGGATAATGGCTACCAAACATTTGATTCAGATCCCTGAAACGTGTGACTGTTGCGTCATACAGCAAAAGAGACGTTGCAGATTTTTGACAGATATGGTCAATTTGGGACCCAGTCATGTTATGTATTTCTTTGGGCCTTCAAAAATCCTGTCATAATCCTAGGGACACACTGAGTGCTCTGAAGTGATGTGTCCTTGAGTGCTGTTTTTCTGAAGTCCTCAAAGACAGTGACAGTGGACCGTCTCCACAAACCTCGTCGAATTCTGTCTGTGTGATGGGCTGCACAAACAGTGCGGTTTGCCTTTTGTGTTTTGTCTTATTTTGCATTTTTTTTGTCCTGTTTTTTTCAGATGCAAGGCTGATTCTGAAAAAGTTTATTACAAAGTCCTCTCTCGTCGTTACTGAACCAGAAAAGGGACCGGGGAAACTCCTCAAGGATGACAAGGTACCGTGTTGTGATTATTACCTGTCCTGATGTTCTAGAGGTAGACAGTTCTCCTTCATGCTCCTTTCTCCTTCCTCCCACTCCTTCCTTTTCCTCCTTCTCTTCCTCTTCTCCCCCTTCTTTAGTGAGCTTCTGATGAGAGAGGATACAAAGTAAATGAAGTTGATACACAAAATATCATACCTGGCCGCATGGGTGAATGTTAGAACGTTGTAGTGAGTGAAGATTTGGAAAAACAAACAAACCCACTAAAACTTGCCAAGTTTTAGCTTTTAGGTTTTTAGGAAGCTAACCCCCCGCCCAGCATATTGTTGGCAATACCTATTTTAATCATAAAACTACAAAGGGAGAAGCATGGATCATGCTTCTGCCTCTGGGAGAAGTAGCGAGAAGTGAGGAGGAATTGGGAGCTGTTAATTTTCTATTCGTCTGTTGGAGTACTGTGCTCCTCTGGTATCCAATTCCATATTTTGCTTCAAAGCTTAAAACATACATGATACACTTTAGTATGTATGCATATGTATATGTTACATGTATCAAACCTTCCAAAATGAGAAAAAGTAAAAAAAAATGATTGGGATATACATTAAAATTGTACCCAATAAGCAGGCATAGTGGCAGCCTGTGTTCCAACAGTTGGGAATCTGAGGCAGGAGGATTACCTTGAGTTCTAGACAAAACTGGCTACACTCTGAGAATCAGGCCAGCTAGGGCTACACAACAAGACTACATATGTTCCAGGTATTAGAGGCTCTAAATTGCTCTCTGTGTTGCTGTGTAGGATGCATGAGAATTTGTTTTGACATTATTTGATGAAAATCAAAGTTAGCTGTTGCTTAACGGGCATCAGAAAATCTCACTAAGGCACACATTGTACTTGTATCTTCATAAATGACATAATATTTCTTGTGAAAGAAAGTACAGAAAACATTTGATTAGAGCAGGAACTGGGGCTGTTGGACCTGCACTCACAAGGCTCTCACCACGAAGGACAGTGTTTTGTCAACTGTGACTAGAAAAGCCTTTAAATTTCAGTAAAAATGTAATATGCACACACCATCAATTAGAAAAAAAATGATCCACAACAAATGAAATGCCCCTCTCATTTCCAGTTTTATTACCCTGGAGTTCTGATAGTGATTTTATGTTATTTTCATCATATTTTACTCTTTATTTATATAAACACAGATAATAGAGATTTGTAAAGGAGATCTTATTGCTATAAAAGTGGGGTCCTACTATATATATTACTATTATTATTAACTTGCTTTCTCCCTATCTGGGTATCTTATGGACACTCCTCGAATCTGTCTCTTTTGCAAGCTTCCGTATCTATGGAAAGTACACATCAACAGGCTGTTAATTTGTATTCATTATTATAAAGCTTACTGTAATAAACACTTTCTACTTTTAATTTTTCTGGCTGACACATTCTGTCTGTATTTATGAGGCACATGTGAGAACTGTCTTTAAGCAGACGTCAGGAATGTGTTGTGGATGTGCGGTTTAATAGAACTTTTTTGAATTTCCTCCTCTAGCACACCATTGAAAGGAAGTAAAGTATCATTTTTACTGAGTTTCCTGTAGCTCATACCATCCACAATTTCCCAAAGCTTATTTGTTTTTATTTCATGGGCATGAGTGTTGTTTGTCAGCATGTACGTATGTGTACCATGTGTGTAGTACCTATAAGAGGCCAGAAGAGGGTGTAGGATCCCCGGAACTGAAGTTACAGATGGCTGTGAACTGGGAACTGCACTCAGGTTCTCTGCGAGTGCTCTTAACTGCTGAGCCATAACTCTAGCCCTACTATCCACCTATTTTTCAACTTTTGAAAACACTTCTTTCATCAAGAGGGCTCGACAAAGACAGAATCAGGGAGAACGGGTGGACTGGTTTAAGGCCCCTCGGTGTTCAATGGTGAGTTTCATGATTTCTCATTCTGCTGGTTAGACAGTTCAGTAGTCAGAAGCAATGTTATTTCAATTTTAATTATATAAAATTAAATATAATTTAAAATTTAGTTCTTCTGTCCACTAACCAGACTTCAAATACTCAAGAACTAAATATGCCTAAGGGTTACTGTATTGGATAAGGTTCAGATAGCACAGCCTTAGAAATATTCCAGTTTGTAAAGACAATATTGCATTTATTTACTGTATGTGTGTATGTGCTTGCATGTGGGGTGTGTGTGTGTGTGTGTGTGTGTGTGTGTGTGTGTGTGTGTGTGTGAATGCTTTGGCATTCACATATGTTGAGGTCAGAGAACAGTTTGGGGGAATCTGTTCTCTCCTTCCACTGCATGGGTTCTGTGTATCAAACTCAGGTCATCAGGTTGGATAGAAATGCCTTTAGCTACTAAGCTGTCCTGCTGATCCCAGAGATACTACAGGTCTTATTTTTCAATAAATAAGTGGAAATAAATTCACTATTTCTGTTCCCAGAACACTATCCTCAATGCATGTCGTATGAAAAACGAGTGGTTGGAAACCCATCCAGAAGCTTCCATCAGTGAGCTTTTTGAGCAGAAACAACAACTGGAGGAAATTATGACTCCCATCCTCACAAAAATGTCTACACCACGTAAGTTTCGGGCTTGAACATTAGGGTATATAATAATTCAGTTCAGTTCTTTCTGATATATTTGATTTTAACTGTCTTCATTCCACTAATAATAACTGAATTCTTTTTGTACGATATGCCTGATTCTAATCTTGATATTACATTTACCAGTTGTTAAATTTTATGATTATAATGTCTTTTATGATTTATTTATTTAATTTTATGAGTGTTTTTTTTCCTGCATGCATGTATGTGTCCCCTCATGTACCCCTGGTGCCCTCAGAGGTCAGAGGGTGTCAGATCTAAAGATGGTTGTGAACCACCATGTAGATGCTGGGAACTGAACCCAAGTCCTCTGCAAGAGTATCCAGTCCTCTTAGCCCCTGAATGATCTCCCCAGTCCTGCCTTTGAGTTTTTGTTTTTTTTTTTTAAAGATTTATTTATTTATTTTGTATACAGTGTTCTGCCTGCACGTGTGCCTCCAGGCCAGAAGAGGGCACCAGATCTCATTGCAGATGGTTGTGAGCCACCATGTGGTTGCTGGGAATTGAACTCAGGACCTTTGGAGGAGCAGCCAGTGCCCTTAACCTCTGAGCCATCTCTCCAGCCCCTGTCTTTGAGTCTTTTGAAATAGGGACTTGCTTTGTGGCTTAGGTTGCCTGTGCCCATTGAGTACTTGGACCACAGGTACCACTTTGCCCAGCTTATGGCATTGATGCCCACTGAATACTTGGATCACAGGTGCCACCTTGCCTAGCTTATGACATAGATTTTTGACCCAGGATTCTCATCCAGGAAAGGGTGATCTTCTGGGAGACAGAGTATAAGAGTCTAGAAAAGATTTTCAGTATTATAATTTTGTTTCTGGTTGGGGGACACCACTGTAGAAATAATATCCCAAGACCAGAAGAAACACACATATCAGAATCTCATTGGCAGGTATACCTAAGATCTTAAAAGTGGCAGCATTATTATCACACAATTTTCATGAAATTCACCCCTTAAAGCTCCAGTCAGTACTTCTCAGTATATTCAAAAAGTTGTATAATTATCACCATTTCAAATTTTAGGCCTTTTGCTACCCCATAAAGAAGCCCTATACTTATTAACAGGTGCCTTCTATCGATCCCCACCAAGCCCTGACAATCATTGCTTTACTTCCTATCTTTATAGGTTTGCTTGACACAGGGTCTTGCTATGTAACCCTGCCTGGATTGGAGCTTGTGATGTAGACCAGGCTGACCTCAAACTTGCTATAATCCTCCTGCCTCATCCTGTCAAGTGCTGGGATTACAGATGTGAGACATCATGCCCAGCTTGGCTCTGATTACTCTGAACTTTCCATCAAAAGAATCATAACATACACATTGCCCTTTGTGGTTGGCTTCTGTCCCTTGGCTTAATGCTTATCTTGTTCACTTATTCTCTAAGATGTATTACCACTTAATATGAGTAAATAAAATTCCCTCGTATTGATACAAATTTGATCCATTCACTGACCAGAGGATATTTTGGTTTCCACTCTTGGGCTAGTATACATAATGCTGAAATGAACTGTGTGTATTACCATATGCTTTCATTTTTCTTTGACACGTTAAACAGGAGTGGAATTGCTGGGTCGTAGGTAACTCTATGTCTAGCCTTCTGGGGAACTGCTAAGCTGTTTTTCAATTTCATCAATGAAGATTCCAATTTCTCCATGCCTTTGTTCATGTTTATTATTGTCTTTAAAATACTTTAGACACACAGTGGGTATGAAGTAACATCATACTCTGAAGTGAATTTCCCTGATCACTAATAATTATAAACATCTTTTCATATGTCTTTTTTGTTTTTTTTTGTTTTTGTTTTGTTTGTTTTTTGTAGCTGGAGGGACAGCCGTGGTTGCTGGGAACCAAACTCTTTTATTTTTGGTTGTGAGCTTAGCCTTTAATGGCTGAGCTATCCCTCCAGCCCATCTTTTCATATGTTTATTGGTCATTTGTGTAATTATGCTGGAGAACTATTCATTTTGACTATTTTAAAATTTAAAATTGAAGTATCCTGTTATAACAGTTCTTTATATATTCTGGATTCAAGTCTATTATCAGAAACATGACTCTGAGCTGGACATGGTGACAAATGCCTGCAATCTCAGCACTGGGAAGGCTGAGGCAGGAGAATCATGAATTTGAGGTTACCTTAGGCCATTCCCAATCCACTGCTGACAATACACCTGAAAGCTGAAGGAAGGATGGGTATGTAAGAAGAGCTGGGACCAGGAACACAAAGAAGGGATTCATTTTGTTGGTCTCCCATTCAAGTCCATCATTGAAGAGATAATGTTTTAAAT